TAAGGCATCACTTTATAACTGATATTGTTTTATGAAATAATTGTAGCTCTTTCTGTACAAGTATTGACCACATATTAAATTTTTGGTACCTACTTTAGCTTCTTTAAAACTTAGAAAGTATTAGGTTGCTCACACAAAACTTAGCCAATGACTAGTAGAATTGCAATGGCTGAACTTTTTAAAGTTAAAATATTGAATGGAAACAATTTTGAGATGTGGAAGAGGAAGATGAAATATCTCCTCATCCAACATAGAATCACATATGTACTAAAAGATGATCCACCAGTAGTTGGTGATAAACCAACTTAAGAAGAAAATAAAAAGTTTAAGAAAATTTTTTAGAGGATGACCTCATAGCAAAAACTTCTATGTTAACTTTTATGCAAGATGACCTTATTAAGGTTTTCGAGCATCATGAAACATCAAAGAAAATGCAAGAGGCAATAAAAACTAAATATGACTCAACCTCTAAAATACACCTCCAATTACTATTAGAGTAATATAACTCATTTAAAATGAAAGAGGGTAATAATGTAGTAGAACATGTAAACAAGATGATTATTATGGCTAAAGACTTGGCCATTACTGAGAATGAAGTCCCCGAGCACATGCAAGTTTCCACTATCTTAAATAGCCTCCTACCTTCATGAAGGATGATAACAATTGTACTTAGGTTGAATGCAAAATCTCTTACATTAGCAGACTTACCTATGTAACCAGCCTTAGAGCAAGAACACATGAACAAAGATAAAATGAGTGACTTCATGCATGCTCAAGGACCTACAAAATCTAGCCAACCCAAGCCTAACACCCACAAATTTCAAGGGAAGTTTAATAAAAAGAACAATAAGTTCAAATACAGATGAACTAAACCCTATAACCAAGAAATTAAACAGGGATCATCAAAATGCTTCTTATGTAGTCAGCTCGGTCACTTCAAGAACCTATGTCCATAGAATAGAAACCTGCAAAATCCAAAGAATAGCGGGAATAGAAGCAAGAGGCGTGAAGTTGTTTGCGTGGTTTCTGAGTGCTTGTTGGCAGATCACGACATCAAAGGATGATGGGTTGACTCAGGCGCTAATTGGCATATCGAAATCTCAAAAGGCCTCTTCAAGAACTTCAAAGAAATAAAGAGAAATGTATCTACATGAAAAACAACACCTATTCTGATGTATTAGGTGTAGGAACTTATAGGTTGTATGTAGAGACAATCGACCTTGTATTAACTGATGTATATTTTGTCCTTTGTATGAGACGAAACATTGTATGTGTCCCCTTACTCATTAGAAAATGTTTTGAAGTCCGTTTTCAATCATTGTAAGTATCAATCGAAATGCGTGGACAAATTTATGCTTGGGGACATGTAATTGATGACCACAACTTGTTCATTCTTCATGTAAATGAGAAAACTGATAATAAAATTTCAACTTATTCTGGTTATGTTGATTGTGTATATGTTGTTGATGCATATACTTGGCATCTTAGGCTTGGCCACATAGGAAAAGACAAAATAAATAGGGTAATAAATAAATGTCTTATTCCAAATCTAAATAGTATCGAATTTCCAACCTGTCAGCATGCTTGTCCTGAAAAATGACTAGAAAATCATTCAAAAAAGGAGAGAGAGCTAATGAGTTATTGAATGTGGTTCACTCAAACATTTGTAGGCCCCTCAATGTTAAAACTTAGGGATGTCATACTTCATCACTTTTATTGATGATTTTTCTAGATTGGGATATGTTTATCTAATCGTCCACAAATCAGAAGCTTTAGAAAAATTTAAAATATATAAAAAAGAAATAGAAAACTAATTGGTTAAGAATATCGAAGTTCTTAAAACTGATAGAGGAGGTGAATATACATCCGAAGCTTTCAATACTTATTGACAAGAATATGATATTAAAAGACATACCACTATGCCTTATACGCCACAACAAAGTGGAATAGCTGAAATGTATAATAGAACCCTCTTAGAAATGATTAGATTCATGATAACTCATGCTAATATGCTCAAGGCCTTTTGGGGAGAAACAATAAACACATTTATGTATATCTTTAATAGGGTTTCAACTAAAGCAATAGATTTTACCCCTTATGAATTGTAGACATGTAGAAAACCTGATCTATCCAACTTAAAGAAGTGGGGGTCAACTGCCGATGTCCTAATTCCATATCAGAATAGAAAATAAGTTAGAAAACAAAACTCTAATTTATAATTTTATAAGATATCCCAAAGGATAAAAGAGATATTGATTTTATCATAAAGATAAGGGACTCATTGAAAGCAGAGATGTTGAGTTCCTAGAAGATTTTATTGAAAAAAACTTACATGTAGGGGATAATGATAATCCACTTAATATTACAAATAACTTAAAACCACTACCTACAGTGGATATGGATAGCCCTGATCAACATGATAATGTTGAAGTACCCACAAACCCAATGTTAAGTGGTCAAAAGTGGTATAGAGTTCCTCCATCATACCTTCATGATTTCTATGTCTAAGTGAATGAGAAGATAGATAACTTTATTGACCTAGATGAAATCTATGACTCTTTTGACTTCAACGATGCTATGAAATCACAATAATCTCAAGAATGACTTAATGCCATGAGAGAAGAAATATATTCTATTAAGAAAAATAAAGTTTGGGATCTATGTGATTTACCACTGGATAGGAAATCTATAGGTTCTAAATGGGTGCTTTAAAGGAAGTTAAAATCTAATGGATCAATTGATAAATTTAACGTTAGGTTAGTAACAAAGGGTTTTACCCAAAGAAAAGGAGTAGACTATGTCGACACTTATTCTTCAGTTGCAACGTTTATATCCATTAGAATAATTTTGGCAATTGTTGAATATTATGACTTAAAACTTTACCAAATGGATGTAAATACTGCATTATTAAATGGTGAACTAAAGAAAACCATCTACATTAAGCAACTTGAGGGCTTCACAATTAAAGGTCAAGAAAATAAAGCATACAAATTAAATAAGTATTTATATGATTTAAAATAATATTCAAGACAATGGTACTTAACATTTCATGATGGCGTCCTACAAATGGGATATGAAGTAAATAAATTGGATCATTGTGTGTATGTCTTGAAGAATGAAAGTAAATTCATAATACTCTTATTATATGTAAATGATATCCTAATAGTTGGAAATGACTTAGAAATGATTGATAAGACTAAGTCATGGCTTTCTTCTCGGTTTGAAATGAAAGATATGGGAGAAGCATCTTATTTCTTAGGTATAAAAATAATTAGAGATAGAAATAAAAAATGTTGTGCTTGAGCCAAGAGAGATATCTTGAGTCTGTTCTCAAAAGATTTCAAACAGAAAATTGTAAACCATTGTCTACTCTTTTTGAAAAGGGTGTAAAGTTGTCTAGGAAGGATTGTCTAGCAGAACGACAAGAAAAGCCTTACGCTCTTTGTGCACAAGGTATTTGTAGCTTGGTATATGTAGTAAGATGTACGAGACCAGATTTGAGTTATGCCGTAGGACTTGTTATTAGATATCAAAGTAATCCCGACATAGCTCATTGGATAACAGTAAAAAGAATTCTAAGGTACATTAAAGGAACAAAGCATCTAAAATTGTGTTTTCAAGCAAATAAGCTTAAAACTACAGGATATTCAGATGCATATTTTGTTGGGGATAAAGACGATAGTAAGTCCACTTCATGACATATTTTTCTCTTTGGAAGGGCGGTTGTTTATTGGTCTAGGTAGAAACAAGGGTGTGTAGCTAGGTACACACATGAAACAAAATACATTGCATGTAGCGCTGCTTGTACTTTTCCTGTCTGGATAAAGCGCTTCATAGATGAGTTGAAGCTGCAAATAATCTATGGACTGATCTAAATATTTTGTGATAATCAAGGTACAATTAAATTAATTCAAAGTGGAGCAAATAACTCCAAAGGAAGACATATAGATGTCCAATATTACTATATTCAAGATTATGGTGAGAAATATGAAGTAATTGTTAGTTACTTATCCTCATCAGCTATGACCTCTAATCTGTTAACAAAGGGTATAAGTGTCAAACTACTGTCTAAGCACACTAGTTAATAAGACTTAAAAATGTTTAAGTCAATCAGTTTTCATGATGACAAATCCGCATAAGCATGAAAATCCTCATGATGGATATTTGTTATGAAAGGCATTCCACGAAAGTATGAGAAAAACCTCATGACAAGATATTTTTTTAAATGTCTTACTCAAAAGTGGGAGTATGCATGTGACTTATTATGCTCCGCCATCATAGCCAAGTAGGAGAAGTTGACACATATGGCTCTGAGGCCTTACGTGTCTTGGCTTACAATTGTGGGAATCTAATGTTTATTATAATTATCCAAAAAATTACATCCAACGTTCATATGGTCCAACATCCATATGAACGTTGGATGAGTATCCCTGAGATTAGGGAAAACCTTTTTTTGTCAGAGACCAACAGTTAGCCATTTTTCTCCCTATAAAATGGGAAGCCAGATAAAGGAAGTGAAAAAAAAAAAAAAATAACAAACGTAGAGGGATACAGAGCATTCTCTGTAAACACATCTTTTATTTCTCTCCTCGAAAAGACAAGCAACAAGGGTTTCTAATCCAAAAATCCGAGCTCTGCGATCACCAACCTAACAACACCCTTTGTCTGATCTCGGGTTTAGTCTCACACGCTCCATCAGTTTTTACTAACACTAGGGGCGTAAAGCAATGAGTTCTAACATTCCTATATTTTTATTAATGGAAAAACGGGTAGGGGTCTCCCCCACCCTTACCCCAAAAAATAAAAAAGCCATTAGACTTAAAATTACTCGTAATTTGGATTTGGATACGGAAAAAAAAATATTTCGTCTAAAAAAAATAATACTGTAAGATATTAGCTAGACCATTCAGATCTACACGCATTCATATATCTGCTTGATTGAAATTAATTTTATAATTTAAAGTTCTACCATTATAAATAAAAATAGATCTCGATTCATTATAAAAATTTTCCGGACCAAAAGTGGATTTTTACGACAAAGTTTGAGGCGCGCCTTGCTTAGTTTAAGATCGCAGCCTTGTGCAAAATAAGAGAAATCAGGAGAAAAATTTCGACCAAATGGCGAAGCTCTTTACCCCTGGGCTTCAAACACCCACTTCATTAAACCCTGAGTCTTATCTTCATCCATTTGTAAACCCTAGTTCTTCTCCTCGTCTCTGCCACGCTCTTGCATTGAACCCCAATCTTCAATGGCGTTATTTGGGTCGTGAATTGAAGTGTAACCCCAAATTTTATCTTCCTTTCCGCAACTCTGTTGACTTGAGTCCCGATCTTCAATGGACGATTTTGAGGCGTAAATTGAAGTGTACGCCCAGAAATTTTTGCTTTTTCTCAGAGGGAAACAGTAACAAACAGGTATTTATCTTGGTTAATCAGGGTTTTGAGAATGTGCTGATGAGTTACGGGGGGGTTTCAGTTACTAAATGCCATGTTTTTTGTATTTCGACTTTGTTTTGGGCGAATTTTGTTTTACAAGTTGCTAAATGGAATGAACGTTGCTTGCATTTTGAGTAGTTTTAGTGGGGTTATTGTTTTTTTATGGACTTAGGTCGTCTATTTATTGTTTGGTTTAGGTTATCTATTTACTGTACGGATAGCAAGGTTCCATTTTCTTGAACCACATAGTCAGATACTCAGCAAAAATGTCAACGAATGCATGCCTGTTTATAAAATTCATTTTCTTTCTCTCCTTTAAATATTGTTAAATTCGTAGTGAAATTGTTGTGTGGACATTACACATTTTGATCTTAGACTCATTTTTTGCTTAAGTTCTTTGATTTGTTACATTGTTTGCATACTTTCATTACAATCTTGGTTTATTAATTGCAATCATAGACTTAGTGCTTTTAAGCCAGCAAGAAACTCTCCATTTTTAGGGAAAGATGTATTGCCTACTTCTCAAACTATTTGTAGAAATAACTAAAACACTGCTAAATCTATAAGAAGTAAGAAGATAGTCTGTTAGAGTTATTCACTTTTGTTGGATCCTCTCTCGGAGTCATTTCTTGTACTTTTATGATTGAGATGTTCTTCTTGAACTTATCGGTGTCATGCTGTTTTCCGGTTAACTTTTTCTGTTTGAGGAGTTATTGTACTCCTTTCTTGCTCTACATTTCGTGTTAATTATACACAGCTCTACATTATGTTTTAATGATACACAAAATCTACTAACATTTATCAAAAAATAAAATCAAATTGAAAAGAACTCGTTCTCCTGAAATTTTAGACGAGTTGTATGTCTTAAGATGTATTTAGTTGTACTCAACTTTCAAAAAACATTTATTCAATTATGCTCAAAAGAAATCGGCTTTTTTATTTATTATTATTGTTATTATATTTTATTTTATTATTATTTTTATTATTTTTCTTATTTTTTTATTTTGAACTTGTCAAGTCCTGTTTCAGTGGTTGTTATTCAGACTTGGATGCTAGTTTCGGTTGAGTTTCTTCAATGTGTCATTGTCTATTAACTGCAGAGTTTTTGTTTATCACATTGGATTTATTGTTTAAAAAATTGTTATTATTTTTATTCTCACATTTATTTTCGAGAGTTCAAGCTTGATTTCTGGTCATAGTCACAAAATTAGGGTCAGTTTCATATTTTTAATAACAGGATTATACCTTTGTTGGGGTTTGGCTTCGGGCTTCCTATTGATATCAGGAGCAAGCTAGAAGAGCATTAGAAAGTGCCCTTGGTGGAAAAAAGAGTGAATTTGATAAATGGAATAAAGAAATTCAAAAGAGGGAAGAAGTGGGCGGGGGGAATAATCATGGTGGTGGAAGTTGGTTCGGCGGAGGTGGTTGGTTCGGTGGGTCTGATGGTGAGCATTTTTGGAAGGAGGTGCAACAAGCAGGTCTCACAATTGCTGGAATCATCATCTTGGTACTCACTCTCTTTGCCTATTGTATTTTCCTTCTTTTGATTGATGGATGCATGAGGCACCCGTTCGCAGGCTGCCCATGGCCTGTGGGTGGAAAATGCCCTCAGGCCATGTGAAGTTTCATCTTCCTCCCCATACTAAGGGGACAAAAGACAAAGGGGACATGCCAACCCCTCATCACTCCCAAGACTTTTTAATGAATACTTTTAAGATTTGATAAAGGAAAGATCTTTGAAAAATCAAAAGAAATCCAAAATATTTGGATTTGATTCTTTGTGAAAGAATTTTATCAACACTTGACCAGTGAGGGCATTTGTTTGGTTAGAATGGCAGTCTGGATCAGTCATGTAGTTTAACAAAGCAAAAAATGCAAAATAAATAAAAAAAAAACAAAGAAATATTAAAAAGCCAAAAAATATAGGAAGCTCAGTAAAAATTTTAAAAGAAAAATAGTAGGAACAAAAATAAAAAGATAACACACCATAATATTGAGAAGGGAAAATAATTATATCAAACTCAACTAATCCACATGGACCACATCGCTAATTCTCCACACCTATGGGCCACCCATTGGTACCAACTACAAACTATAAACTATTGACTCAAATTCTCAATTACATAATCATAATTCATATATTATATAAAAATACGAGTGTTATGCAATATATCAAAACAAGTTGATACTCTTGTTATTCACCATCATCTACTTCCGCTTCATTTCCACTATCTTCCTCATCAGTGAACTCCTCCTCTAACTCATCATCTCTTCTGTAAAGTTGTACAGTAAGTTATCAATGTTTCAATTCAAAGTTTCAAGTCTCAAGTTTAAACTTTCAATATAGTGAATATAATATAAGAAATAAATCAATAAAGAAATTTTATGATTAAAGTGCTCAAAGTTAGAAAAGAAACAATAGTAAAAAACTTAATAATAAAATTACCTTTTTGTGTTGGATCCATCTTCATTCAATTCTCCTCAATTCATTCTATAACGTCTCTGTCTTGACAACCCTACAACATCGATACTCTTCAAGTCAATGGGGTCAGACCATATGGTTTGGACAATAAGTTAAAGCGTAAATCTAAGAATGAGTTGAACAATAGCAGAAAAATGAATAAGTCTATTATCTCTGCATCAAGCTAAGGTTGTATTGGGCAAAGACCAAATTATTGAGCTGCTTGTGCTCCAACTTATTTCAAACATTGATGTGGATGCATGAGGAAACACTCCATTTCTTCTCGCAGCCACATGCATTGCAAGTTTGGCTGAGGACGCAGACAATGAATCTCTGTAGCTTTGGAGCTTCATCAAACTTCCTCACCATTCCTCTGAAACATGAAAATGGAAATTGAATATTAGAATTTGAGGTAGTTAATTAACCACATGAGAGGGCAAAGTGAGTAAACTTTATGGAAAAACATAATAATGAAATGATGTTACTTGGGAGGATCTCACTGTGTAGGTTAATTGGCATTTGTCTCGAAAACTTGTAATATCACTCCAAGCCGATGAAATAACCATGGCTCTCAACCCATTCTTCAATTGCAATATGCTTTGCAAGGTGAGCAAGTTAGTGACAAAACTAGTTATTGCTAACCTCACTACCTCTCTCCCATTTGTACGTTTTCTCATAAGATTGAGGACAAATGACGTTGTAGCTAGGTTTTGTAATCTCTTTTGCCCTCTCTGCAATCAACTTAACATGGGACATTTTCCCTGTTTGCTCAAGCATCAATCTAAGCATTGTGCAGCATATGAGGTCCAAAAAATGAGATGTGCATAGTGCTCTTGCAGCCCACAAGGGCGTAGTTGGCTGCATTATCAATAATGAATTACACCACGTGCTCTGGCGCAACTTCGTCTACAACCTCCCTAAACAACTAAGACGATGCTGAACCAATCTTAATAATATATGTTGCATCCACGGACCTCAAAAAAGCATTCCCCCTTATGATAGTAAACCAAAAAACCACCCATCAGACATAATAGAGCACCCATGGGTGGCACATATCTCCCAATAGCTCCCTGTGAAATCCTTAAACCTCTTCCACATTTTCTTAAGCAAGCTACCCCTCACATCATCATAGCTGGGGATTTTTACCTTGGACCTTTGGGTTCATTGCATCCAACATAGGGTAAAAAAATCAGAGTTGACTACCTTAAAAGGGATGCCAGTGTGATACATCTACCGGGCCAAATACATGTGTACTCTACGCTCTTTGTTACTTTCTCCCAAGCCAAGGCACATTTGATGGTTGGCTGGGAGCCCCATTGTCCTATGTGGTAAATTGCCCCCCATCTCACCTGACCTCCTAGGCTAGCTAGACACTGTCCCACTTGAAGCTGTACTAGTAGACTCCTTCCCTATCCTTCTAGTCATGGACAACTAGTCCTTCTCTTCTTCCTCTTCAGAATCCTCTTATGTAGGAGTTGGATAAGGATTCTTGATGTCATGTATTGACTGCCTCCTTTGCTTTTAAGTACCATGATCTTCAATGCTCCTTTACATCTCATGCATCATGTGAGAAGAACTTTAGGGCATTTGGTTATATTCCCTTGGTTGTGCACCAAATGCTCCATCATTCTATGTATTCCCCCTCCCTTTATTTGTTTATTTCAAAATATGCATATATTTTCTCATATCTTGCTATTTTTTTTTTCCCTTGTAACATGCCCCCATGTCGGGTGTGAGTTTTTATTAGACCTGTTAGAGGCCATATTTAAATCCTTAAATTCCTGAGACAATGATTTCAACCAACCAAAAATTACAACTTCCAAGAATCAAGCTTAATCAACCAACACCAAATCTCTTACTTAAAATATCTAAACCACCAAACTAAAGTCCGAATCCTCATCAAGTATACTTCAAAGGTCAATAATGTTAAGTTCACCAACCCTACATAAAAATAAAATAAAACGAATAAATTAGTAAATCAATGAAACATTTTCAAACAACCCACCCCCAATTTTCTACATCCAAACTGAAAATATAAAGAAATGTAACAGAAAATTTTCCATGGTCTATCATTTTCCTTGTAAGCGTTTAATATTTACTAAAACAAAAGAATGCATAAACAATAAATTTTCATGCAAATAAAAACATTATAGTATCAATTTGAAACATGTTTCACAACAAGTAGCTAAAACAATTTTCATACTTTAACAATTTTCATGATACGATGATAGCCTTCAAGCATTAATGGAACAAATAAATTCATAAAAGAATATTGGGTTAAAAATAGAATCGACCAAAAATCTAAAACTATAAAATGACTAAGAAGCCAGGAATAAAGTAACATATATCCAGTATAAATGTTTTTCATACTCTATAGTTTCATTAAACTTGGCCTTTTTACAGTTTGATGAGTGCTAAAGAATAAAAATAAAAACAACCCAAACCTAGTATAATAGTATTTATTTTTAAAGATGCATACAAGGCTTCCTAAAAAGCAAAATATACACAATAAACTTAAGATAAAACAACCTAAAATCAATGGAAGAAACATTATTTTGCATTTGTTTAAAAAGAAAATCTTTTATGGCAAGAATTGTAAAAAACGAAAATGATAAAAAAGTAATTTAATAGACTTGCTTGGGGCTTCAAATCGGGCAAAATGATGGCCAAATCTTCCCCCAAGATTACTGGAAAATAGGAGAAAAATGATTAAAATGCTTTTCTCACTCAAAGCAAAGGTTTTTAAAACCTTAAAACCCACTCTTTTAATCCAGAAGATAAAAAAGCCCCTTGGAAAAAGATAGAAAAAAGACCCATGCAACCACCAAAAAGGTGGAAAAATGAAGAAAATATGAAAAAATGGAGCGGAAAAGGTACAATTTTTTAGGGTTATTTGGACCAACCAGTTCATTCACAAATCCGCAGACTGGCCGATCTACCGATCCAGTCAATGGACGATTTCATCCATTGGTTTGTAACGGCTCGGTCTACTTCTAATGTTGGGGTTGGACGGGACTGAATTGGTCGGTTCCCAGTCCAAACTAGCTAGTCTGGTCTTTTTTACATAACCCTGTGGGAAATATAAGAGAGGAGGTTTGAAGTGACTGAAACCTTGAGATTCATCCAAAACATTCAAGTTCAGTGATCAAGCAAGAAGTGTATCCATTTTTGGTTAAGTTCATTTGTATTTGAGATCTTTCAAGATTCCTTTGTGGTGGTGTTGCATGTGTGAAATGTGATCCAACATTGGCCTAGGTACTTCTAAGATGTTGATTTATTCCCATCATTCTATTTTTAATGTCTAATTGATTATACACACCCTTTATATAAAGGGTGTGGTTTGCATAAGGTTGCTGCCTTAAACAATCCAAATAAGGTGCACCACCAAATTTTATCATAAGATGTACTTTTGATGTCAAAAGTTCTTACGATGGCCTGAGAATCCATTTTCATCTCTAATTATAGAATTTTTTATTCCAAAAATAGTTCAAATCAAGTAGATCTACAAACTAATGAAAATGTTGAAAATGGACTGTCTAGATAATGTGTTGCAAGATGCACTACTTTTGGGACTTGAATTCTTCTTGTTTTATATTCATGCATCTCGACATCGAGATGATCGAATAGAGGGTTTTCCAACTTCAAAACAACCTTTTACAATGGATTTTTTAAGTGCACTTTAATTCTACATTTTAAGGTTGCATCCTTATATAAACTTTTTCGTTATATAAAACATGTAATGTATTCCATATGTATGTAAATGCTATAAATTAGTGTTTAAAAACCCAGAGCGGCTGGGCAGATCGATTGTTCAGGGAACTAGTTCGGATCAGTGGATCAACGATCCAAATAGGTGGATCGGCTGGATCGTGCAATTCTGGCCTTAAAAAATTTCTAAAATTTTTAAAATTCATTATGAATATTTTTTTGGGTTTTCAAAACCAAAATGGGAGTAGTGCATTATGGATTATCATGATTTTGTAGAAGTACGTGAATATTGAGAGACTAGTGTCTATTTGAATGTCTGTTGACCCTCACACTTCATT